AAACTTCTAAACTTCTCTTGGATAATTTTTTCTCACTTCAATAATATATCATCTAAATTTAATATTCTAAATTTAATTTTAACATTTAATTTCAACAACTTTCAATAAGAAATTTAAACTTTCTCAATTTTCGACTCATCAAATATTTACAGACAGCCTTAGAGACGCCCTTTCGCAGAACGGAGACCTGAGCAGACAGGTGCAAGAACTGACCCACCTGAAAGCTCAACTGGCCGCTGAAAGAGACGCACTGGCCGTTGAATTGGCCGATGCCAAAGACGCTTTAAGGGACGCTCTGGCTAGATTGGATGCTGCCAACCAGGTCTGTTTCTGCTGCTCGCCAGTGTGGTCGCTGGCTGATCGATCTGAAAACAGTTTTATTGGAATGAATTTATTATTTTTTAGTCAATAATATGGTAGTAATTAAAAAAAATTATACGATTGATGTTAATTAAGACAAAACAAAATTTATAAAACTAAGTTTAATAACTCGAACAACTAATTTTAAAAACAAACTATAAAATATTTATCCTTCCTAGGCCATGAACCAACTGAAGGCTGAATTCGAACGCCGTTTGAAGGACAAAGATGATGAACTTGAGAATTTGAGGCAAGTATATTTGTTTTCTTGTATGTTTGTGTTTGTTTATTTGTTCATTCGTTTGTTTGTTTGTTTGTTTCTTTGTTTGTTTGACGACATCTCCATTATTCATTACACTGATGTGATTGGTAGCTTTCATTAGTATTTTTAATAATTATACCATGCTACCAAAATTAATAATACGATAAACCTTACCAGAAAGAGCAGCCAGAGAGCGATTGACGAGTTGCAGAGAGCTCTGGCCGAGATTGAGGCCAAGTTGAAAGCCGAAATCGCACGTCTGAAGAAGAAGTATGAGGCAGACCTCCGCGAGATGGAACTGCAGTTGGAAGCCCTGCAGAGAGCCAACGCCGAACTTAACAAGAACAACAAATCCCTGGCCCACAGGGTCAAGGTTAGGAAAATATTTTCTGAAAATTTAAATTTGTGCTAGATGTTAGGGGTTTGTGAATAAGATTAGAAATTGATCGATTGAGCCTTTTTTTAAAGTTGAAATTAAAATAATGAAAATGTTTGCTCTTTGTTACATACCGATATTAAGTAGCCGGCAAATATGTTTTTTTAATAGTAAACTATTTGAAATTGAATTTTATACATGAAAACAAAACTTAAACCATTTCTATTTTTTAAATAATCATAGGTACTTCAACGTAAATAACTCAAAAAATTATGAAACCAGGAATTGGAAGCCTTGCTGGAAGAGGAGAGGAGAGCCCTGGACGATGCGAGGAACCAGGCAGCTCTCTGGGAGCGCAAGTGGATCGCTCTACATGCTGAGTTCGAAAACCTGCAAGCTCTTTACGATGCTGTTCGTGCTCGACTCTCTGCATTTTTCTATCTGCTTTGATGTTTCTATTTTGTTGTGATGGTGCTGCTGAATCGATTTATTTATGATGTTTTATTGATAGGATGCCGGTTAATTATCTTTATGAATTGGTTTAGTTTAGATTTTAAAATTCTATCGTGTGAAGATTTTTATTGATGACGATGAAACTAATGTGCAAATTGATTATAAGCATTTAACACAAACATTTTCAGTAGTTTAACAATTGAAATCATTTTAACGAGTTCCTATTTTGTCAACATTCAAAAGTATTTTTAACGTTTTTCAGGCCGAGAGAGCCCGCAAGGCCGCCGAAAGTCAGCTGGGTGATTCATCTGGCCGCTTGAACGAGCTGAACATCAGCATCACCACACTGGCAGGCGAGAAGCGCATGCTCGAATCAGAGCTGCACAACTTCAAAGTGGAATTCGAATCAAACCTGCACGCCAGGAGAGCCGCCGAAGAGAGGGCAGACAAACTTCAGGCCGAACTCGCCCGTCTGCTCGAAGAATTGAAAACTGAACAGGAGAACGCTCGCCGCGGCGAAGCGGCCAAAAAACAACTTGAAGCTGAAGTGAGGGAGTTGACGATGAAGCTGGAAGAAGCTGAAGCCTACGCTGGAAAGGAAGGAAAGAGACTTCTTGCTAAATTGCAAACCAGGGTCGGTTTTTGTTGGGGAATTGTATGAAAAGTTTAAAAAATAATTAAGATATAATTATAATTTCACAATATTAAAATATTTTTATTTTATAGAATTGTTCATTTATCAATATTTTATAAAACGATTTCTTAAATTAGAAAATAACTCTCCTCACATTACATAGCTCCGTGAAGTGGAGATCGAACTGGAGGCAGAACAGAGACGCAGCAAGGACTTTGCAGCAGAAAACCGCAAACTTCAGCGTCTGTTGCAGGAGTTGAAAGTTCAAAACGAGGACGACAAGAGGCTCATTATGGAACTGACCGATCAGATCAACAGTCTGCAGGCCAAGAACAAATCGTTGAGAAGACAAATCGAGGAAGTTGTAAGTTGACGCTTCTGAAAATTTTTTTACTATAAAAGTAGTCAACAATAACATCAAATTACGTTAAAAAACATTAATTAATTAATCAATTTTCTAACTAAAGTTACCATTTCATCTCACTAAATCAGGAAGAAGTTGTTGGCATCACAATCAACAAATACAGGAAGGGGCAACAACAGTTAGAGGAAGCAGAGAGGAGGGCCGACAGCGCCGAGAAGACCGCCTCCATGACCACAGTTCGCGCCCTGCCACTTGGCGTCACCCACAGCGTCGGACACACCGTCCGTCTGGGCAGTGTCGTCCCAGCTTCTTCGGTGGTCGTCGGTGGCCACAATGGCCCCAGATCAATGTCGGTCAGCCGCGAAGTAACCAGAGTTTTGAGGGTGTAAATAATTTTTTGGATATGTGCCGAAGTGATTCAATGGTACCGAAAGGTTTCTCGGCACGAAATAATTTAGGAACCTTTGAATTTGGTATGATATATGATATGGTATATGTTATGATATATGATATATGATATGGTATATGTTATGATATATGATATGGTATATGATATGATATATGATATGATATATGATATGATATGATATGATATATGATATGATATATGATATGGTATGATTTAAATAAAACGTTTCAATATTTTTCAATTTTTTATTCATATTAAAACGAAATTGGTGGCTAATAAAAGACATCTTTTAAACCTGAAGTTACATTATAAATTGTTGTTGGCTGTCATTGATGTCGTTGTTGTTTCTGAAACTTTTTCAATTCTTTCATTCTTCCTTTCTTTCAATCTTCCAGTTTTTTATTTTTGCTGAAACAATATTCACATAAGTTTCTATTGGATTTTTCAATCAAATATGGCTTAAAATTTAAAATAGTGAAAGATGGAAGATAGATACAAACACATACATACATACATACGTACATATAGGCGTACACACGTACATACATACGTACATACATAAAAACAAACACATACCGCCACCGACACGTACACACATGCAAGGGTATTAAATATCCCAAAAACATCGTCATAAAATTCGCACCCCAAGTTAATTATTAAATCACTTATTAATATGGCTGAAGGATTAATAAAAATCCAACAAAACTAATTACAAACCTTTATTTTGGTAACAATAATAAAAATAAAAATAAAAGAACAATAAGGATAATGAAACGACGGTCATCGTCACCATATTGAAAATGAAGGAAGGAGTGGGCAAACTTTTCAGTGTGAGGGCCGCATTGAGAATTATTTTACCTTTGAAGGGCCTCATATGTACTTTAATAGCAAATTTTTTCGACCCGGGGGAGAATTTTTTTAAGATTTGTGGCTCCTTTTTTAGTCATAATGACTAGATGATGACATTTTTTGGCGAACAAGGCCTCGATTTTCCAGTAGTAGTAGTAGTAGTAGTAGTAGTAGTAGTAGTAGTAGTAGTAGTAGTAGTAGCAGTAGTAGTAGTAGTCGTCGTAATGTTAGTGGTAGAAGAAGTAAGCAGGTTAAAATGAAATGTAAATAGTGTGAGAAAATATACTGGGTCCCTTTTTTCATATAGCATCTTTTAATAATGTTCAAAGGCGCTATAAAATTGCCTGTGTGTGTGTGTGTGTGTGTGTGTGTGTGTGTGTGTGTGTGTGTGTGTGTGTGTAATGATATAAAATATATTGTATAGATGCGAATATATAACACACGCTAATAACGCACACATACACACACACACACACACACACACACACACACNGCACGCACACATATATATATAGAAGTTTATTGAGGTGTATATAGTTGATTTATTTAAGCTTAGCTTTTTCGCTTAATGGTATGATGTGTTTAATTTTTTGAGTAAATATAATGTGAAACCATTTAAATTTTTCGTTCTTTTTTTTGTTATCTTTTATTGTAGAATGGATAGGTGAATGAATGAGCTATTGAATGAATGAAAGTTTAATTGATGGATTGACGAATGAGGGGATGAATGAATGGAATATTTAATGAATAAATAAATAGATAAATTAATTAATAAATGAATGAATAAAAGAATGAGTAAATAAACAACTTTTTAAAAACTGTTTAATTAATGAACATAATTTTTTTTTCTTAGTAGAAAGGAAGAACATTTGGGATTTAGATAACCACAAAATCTATCTGTCGCCTGGATTATTTTAACAGTAATTGCGTCATCGTTTACGTCATCGTCAACATCATTACCGTCAACAACAACAACCATCCACTCATTCTTTTATTCATTCATTTGTTAATTAATTTATCTATTTATTTATTCATTAATTATTCCATTCATTCATCCCCTCATTCGTCAATCATCAATTAAACAACATCAACAACAACAACAACAACATAGTCACCGTCAACAACATCAACAACAACATCGTCACCAGATACATCATCAAACAACAACAACAACCGCAACCATCATCAGCCGCTACAACAATATTGAAAAAGACAAAGCCGGCGAGAAATTTGAATTATTCACTAACAACATCAACAACAACTACAAAAACAGCAGCAACAACAACAACAAAAATGACGTCAGCTGATCAAACATGGCCGTTGAACATTCACGTGACCGACCTTCAAAGTGACGTCACCATCCGCGTCAGAGATGACATGCACATCGGCGGAGTTATGATTAAACTCGTCGAAACTATGGGTATCATTAAATACTATTACTATCATTACTACTACCACTACTACTGCTACTACTTCTACTGCTGCTACTACTACCACAACTCTACTTCTACTGCTAATACTACTAATGTTACTACTACAACTACTGCTGCTGTTCCAGCTGCTTCTACCACTACTTTCACTATTAATTTTACTGATACTATTACTAATACTACTGCTGCCACTAGAACAGTAGTTGCAGCTACTACTTCTACTACTGCTGCTGCTGCTGCTAAAAATAATAATAACAATTATAATAATAATAAAAGCACTTTTACCGTTGTGGTAATTAAGTAGATTATTGAAACATTAATCATCGCTATTATTAATATTGTTGTCATTATTATTGTTATTATTATTATTGTTATTATAATTATTATTATTATTATTGTTGTTGTTGTTGTTGTTGTTGTTGTTGTTGTTGTTGTTGTTGTTATTATCAAGAGCTACTAATAATGCTACAAGTCTGGATGGTGCACTTGCATCCTGTTTAGGACCATAATTATGTTTAATAATAATAAGAATTATAATAAGAATCATAATAATAATAATAATAATCGTAATAATTATAATAATAATATTATTTGTTATTATGATTAATCATAATAATTATAATAGACTTCGGGTTCATTTTAGATTACGCTTAAATCGCTCAAATTTAACCAAGATAAATGAGACGATTGCGGGGATTACCAACACATCACACACACACACGCACGCATACACACACGCACACACACACACACACACACACACGCACACAGACGTTGGGTTTCTCCCACCTACATATCGTTCACATTTCTAATTGCCCGTCTTTGGATTTTCCACCTTCTTTCTACTAATCTCTATTTCTTAATCCAGAATCCAGCACATCACTGGACCCCCAACTTACAATTTACACATCCCTAATTTCAGGAACTGGACAAGATTGGTCGGATCATTCTCTGTATTGGCCTGACAAAACTATGTGGGTTTCGAGGGCTAAAAGTACATTAGAACGCTACGGTGTAAGGCCGCATGATAAGTTGGTCTTTACTAGTATGCATAAAAATATTAAGGTTTGTTTGTTTGTTTGTTTGTTTACCTGTTTGTTTGTTTGTTTACTTGTTTGTTTGTTTGTTGGTTGGTTTGTTTGTTTTTGAGTTGTTTTCTATCGTTGTTGCTTTTGTTAATTAAATCCTTCGTCATCAGCACCATTAGTATATCGACATTTTCAACATAAAACAACAACATCATCAGCAACATCATCATCATCATTATCATCAATACCGTCATCATTACCATCATCATAACTATCGCCATCATCATCGTCGCCATAATCATCACATCACCATCACCACCTCCATCTACTACAGATCCAGCTGCCAGATCTCACGGTACCTTTCGTAAGGGTGAACTTCTCAGTGAACGTTTTTAATGTAAACCTTAACATCTGCAAGGAACTTGGTTCGTACAAGCGCACATTCACACAAACACACACACAACACACACAAAACTCACACATTTGCACAAGTGTATAAGAGGGAGAGAGAGAGAGAGAAAGAGAGAGAAAGAGAGACATAAACACACACATGCATGCATGCACAAGTGTATAAGAGAGAGAGAGAGAGAGAGAGAGAGAGAGAGAAAGAGGAGAGAGAGAGAAAGAGGAGAGAGAGAGAGAAAGAGAGATAATAATAAAAATAGTGAAAAGGAGAGAGAGCAATATAATAAAGAATGTGAGAGAAAAAAATGAGAAAAAACAAAAAAACCTTTTTTTCCACTTATCCCAATCCGGAATCAACATCAAAAAACAGGAATAAGACACCCGGAAGAATTATCCTTGATGAAAAAAATCGATCCGGACCAATTGAAGAAGAATCAGGGCGTTTCAGGCAAAAGAAAAGACGGACTTCCGACAGGGATGAACCAGAAGTTAGCGGGGTCCAGTGATGGCCTGAATGAAGTTAAAACGCCATCTACTTCCGGTTTTCTAACTCCTGATGTTAATATTTGTTTTCTATCTTGAAATTATTGGTTTTTTTTTTGTTTTTTTAATTATTATGATTCATTTTTGTAAACGAAATACCTCATCTATTGCAACTACTGCTACTGCTACTACTACTACTACTACTACTACTACCACTGCTGCTGCTGCTACTGCTACTACTACTACAACTACTACTACTACTACTACTACTACTACTACTACTACGGCTTAATGACAACAATGACAACAACAACAATAATAATAACAGTGACGTAAAAATTTCCAGGGCACCTTATCGAGAACTTACAACCCCTACATGGCCAGCAACAGCTCCCCAAACCGTTCATTCAACGCTAACGGTATGTTCACTCCTGGCACCGGTTCCATCGACAATCTGGCTTTCCATACTTTGAATATCTCCTCATCATCGTCCAATAGAATCGTCAATAGCACATCCCTGGTCCTGCCTAATTTGCTGCCTAAAATTAGGAATTATTCCGAGGCCGCCAGGATGAATGTTGCGTTAGTAATTTTTGCTGTTTTTTAGAATTTGAGTTATTTACCCCATCCAATTCATTCATTCATTCATTCATCATTCATTCATTCATTCATTCATCCATTCATTCATTCATTCATTCATTCATTCATATCAGATGGTTAGATTCATCTCTCTCACTGATGGAGCAAAATATAACAGAGAACGATACGCTGCTGTTGAGATATAAATTCTACGATTTTTACGATCTAAATCCTAAGGTTTGATTGGTTGATTGGTCAGCTGGTTGGCTGCGCAGCTGGTTGGTTGGTTGGTTGGCTGGTCTGCTGGCTGGTTGGTTGGTTGGTTGGTTGGTTGGTTGGTTGGTTGGTTGGTTGGTTGGTTGGTTGATTGTTTAATTGGCTGGTTTGTTGTTTGGTTTGGTTGGTTGATTGTTTTTCTTGACTGATTGGTTGTATCATGGTTATTCAAATGTCTTCTAAATAGTCGTTTAAATGATTGATTGATTGAGTGAGTGATTAATTGGTTGATTGATTAATTAATTGGTTGATTGGTTGGTTAATTGGTTGGTTGATTGATTGATTGGTTAAACAAAATTTTGATGCTTGTCTTGTTAATCATACCCTCACAAACACACCAACAAACACACCAACAAACACACACGCACAAAACACACGCACAAACAAACACACGCACAAACAAACACACACACACACGCACAAACAGTACGATGAAAGTAGAATCAGATACATATACGAACAAGCCAAATGGTTGGTCCTCTCGGAAGAATTGACTTGCTCTGAAGAGGAGATAATCTTATTGGCTGCCCTACAAGTCATTAACATAATTAATACTATATTATCGTAATTAATATTAAATTATCATAATTTATTCACACGGGCGGATCTAGACTACTTTGAAATTGGGCTAAATTTTAAAAATATTGAGATTCTCGATCACCAAACTTTAAATTTTCATACTCCGGAGATTAAGCTAAATCTGCCACTGATTATTTATATTATTATTATTATTATTATTATTATTATTATTATTATAGTTTCATAATTATTATTATTATTATTATTATTGGGGTCAGGTTCAAATCGAAGAGGTCATGAACCGACCCTACAGCCCTGACGACCCTCACCTTCACGAGCCAGGTGTGAAAATTATTATAACAACTATAATAAAAAATAATAAATAATAATTATAATATAATAAAAATCATAATTTATACGGCATCTTTTGAAATTTTTTCCTGCTGATAAAATGTTCACATAGGCACGCACACACAGTATACATCTCATCACACATACACCGTACACACACACACGTACATACATCGATGCGTCATTTGCCTCGCTGGTGATAGTCTGGGATTTCTTTACGCCACAATGTCATCCACACGTAGATTATGAACAAGAGCCAAAGGATGACGTAGAAGACGCTCTCCACCAGCTGCAGATCTCCCTGGAGGGAGAGAGAGGGGGAGAAATAAAAGAAGGAGAAGGAGGAAGTAATAGTAGTAGTCGTAATAACATTATTAATAGCCGTAGTAATGATAATAGTAATAATTTTGGTATTAGTGGTAGCGGTAGTAGTGGTAGTAGTGGTTCTGGTGGTATCGTTTGTAGGGCCACTAGGATCAGAGATTGTATGAGATGCTACAGGTGAGTATGATGATGATGATGGTGATGATGATGATGATGATGAAGATGATGGTGGTGGTGATGATGATGAAGATGATGAAGATGATGGTGGTGGTGATGAGGATGGTGATGATAATGTTGATGATGATGCTTGTAGCGATGACGTCTTTTCATGACTGGCGACTTCAAAAAATTGCTTAATGACGTCATTTTTATCCTCTATCTGCGTGAATATTCACTATCATTATCATCAATAAAAACATCGTCATCATCACCGTCATCATCATTATCATCATCACCGTCATCATCATTATCATCTTCGCCGCATCATCATTATCATAACCACAAAGGCCTAGAAAGTTCCAACTGAAAACATTCGCCAAGTATCTTTTCATCTTAAAAAATGATAAACTCTTCATATACAAGCAGCCAAACAAAAATGATTATGGTGATGATGATGTTGGTGGTTGCGCCGGTAATGATGATGATGATTCTAAGAAAGCGTTAAAAGTCTTCGATTTGTCGTGTTAGTTTTTGATAAGTTTTGGGGTCTTTTTTTGTCATTGCTTTTAACTCATTCGTTTGCCGTTTTGTTTGTTCATTCATTCATTCAATTCATTCATTTGTTCATTCGTTCATTCATCCACTTCACAGCTTCTGAATCCTTCTCTCTATCATCGGCTTTCGACGTACAGGAAGATAAATACGTCATCAAACTCATCCTACCTTACCATGGCGCCACCGACGAACTCTGGATCAGGCAAGATAATGTATGCACGTCTTTAGCATAAATTTGCATAATAATTAGATGGCCTACCTACTCATAAATTTGAATTTTAATGGGCTGATATTAACGCGAATTTTCTAGCCAACACTCATACATAATACATTAGATTTAATCTGTATCCCATCTTACTTTAAAAATATTCACTGTTATTGTTGTTGTTATAAATACTTTATTATAAGTATTATTTTTACTACTACTACTATTACCACTACTACTACTACTACTACTACTACTACTACTACCACTACTACCACTACTATTACTACTACTACAAACACCACAGGAAGAACAATTTGTGAAGTGGCTGGCTGCATTAAGAATTTTGCACCGAGGTTAATAAAGTTATTAAAATAATAATAATAATAAAAATATATAATAATAAATACACACATACACATACACACACACATACACACACACATATATACACGCACACAGACGCACACATACATACACGCACATTCATACTAACTGAAAAAAACAGGTAAATCTCTCTTAGACCACGTTGCATATGAAAAGGAAAAGAAATCCGTCAGCTCCTTAATAAATATTCAAAAATTCCCCAACAAAAACAACAACAACACCAACAAAAACACCAACAACAACACCACCAACAACAACAAATTACAAGCAGACGATTTAAAACCGGAACGAATTTTGCCACCAAAATTTGGCGCTAAATCGAAAAATTTCAAAAATCTCTTGAGAAAGATTATCGATATTTACTCGAATATTAGCCAAAAAACCTACATAGAAGCGATGTTGGACTATATTAAAGTCTGGCAAATGCTGCCCAAATACGATTTTAGGTATTTTATCATCAAAATAAAGGATTCGAAAAAAGAGGTATGTTTGTGTCTGTTTGTATGTTCGTTCGTTTGTATGTTTGTATGTTCGTTTGTTTGGGTGTTTTTATATTCGTTTGTTTGTGTGTGTGTGTGTGTTCGTTTTGTATGTATGTATGTATTTATGCCTGTGTGTTTATGTACGTTCACCTGTAGGTGTCTGTATGTTTTTGTTTAGTTTTGTTAAAATAAATACTAACTCCATAACCAAGAAAAGTTAATAAAAATTATTATAATTACGATTATGATTATGATGATTATTATTGTTGTTGTTATTATTATTATTATTATTATTATTATCAGGAATTGCTTGGGATAGGTAAGGATCGATTAGTGAAGATGGATTTGAAGACAGGTGACCTGCTGAAGACCTGGATGCTCAAAACCATCCAATCGTGGAGCGTTAACTGGGATATCAAACAGGTGTGTGTACGTGTGTGTGTGTGCGTGTGTGTGTGTGTGTGTGTGTGTGGGTCGTTACGTATCTACAGCATGTGTGAAAGTATGTGTACGTGTATATTCTACACAGGTGTATGTACGTGATATGTGTTTGAGTACTATCCATTAACATATAATTCACACAACACACACACAGATACACACACACACACACACACACACGCTTATTCACACACACGCTCATTCACACACACGCTCATTCACTTACTCACGCACACACACACACACACACACACACACACACACACACACACACAAGGTGCACGTATCATTCGACTTGGAGGAGGAACTCATCTTCCAATGCCTAACTACGGACTGTAAAGTCATCCACGAATTCATCGGCGGCTATATCTTCCTCTCAATGAGATCCGGAGATAAAAATCAAGCGCTAGACGATGAACTATTTCACAAGTTGACTGGGGGATGGAATTAAGGATGCGCAAAAAGTGAAGCGACCTATAAAAAAATATTCAACTACCAACTAGATAGATTTAGTTTATAGATTTGAAGAAAATTGCCTATAAATGTTATACAAATGCCTGTTTTACTAATTGACTGTGGGTTAAAATTAAGGGTATGCCAGGGGTATGCCAATGTGTGGCTGAGTGAAAATGGGGAGGTTCGGCATTTATAAATATGGAAAGAAACCCATTTGAATAATTTGTATCTATATCGACCATAAACATTACAGCAATCAGTAATTTTCCTTTAGTATTTTGATGATTTTCTGGTTCATTATTATTATTATTACCGTTATTATTAATGTTTTCGCAATTTTTGTTATTATTATTATTATTATTACTATTACTATGACGTCATTGATACTGATAGACAGACAAACATTTTATTCATCCAAAAAAAACCAGCTATACCCAATGTACAAAGCGATCAAATTTCCAATTACAATAAGAATAATAAAACTGAAAAACAACAATAATAACAAATAATAATAATAACAAACAACAATAATAACAAATAATAATAATAATAAACAATAATAATATTAGCAGAAAACAGCTTATTTCATTTAATAAATTTTAGTCGAACATGTCCATGAGTATCAGCATCAATCAAAAAGCACACATCCTTCGAAAAATTATACGTTTATTCATTCATTTATTCATTCAGTCATTCTATCATTCATTCAGTCATTCCTATCGGTCATTCATTCATTCATTCATTCACTCATTCAAACAACCAATCAATCATTCCAGCTGAATAGTGAAGACATCGAAAAGAAATTTTCAATCGTCCGCTTATTTAATTAATTACTATCGATTTGAACAGTTTTTTTGAGAAACGAATGAATGAAAAGTGAATTAATGAATGAACGAATAAAAAGTGAATGATAGAATAAATGTATGAATAAATGAATGAATGACCGAATGAATGAAAAAAAAAATAAACAGAAACTGAATAAAAAAAATATTTTAAATCGTCTCTAACTCTGCCAGATGAAAGTAAAAAATTTTCAAATAAAACTTCTAATTTTATGTTTCTGAATCGTTTAATATCGATTGACCAACTGTTCAATTAAATAATCAATCAACTAATCAATCATTCCTTCATTCTACCAATCAATCAATCAATCAATCAATGAGCCAATATTTCAGACGGCCATTGGACCAATAGGAAGATTGTTCTGAACACTCCATATCAGGAAATCAGCCAATCGCATTTGTCCTGCACCAATCCAGGCCCAGGGCACGTTAAGCCCCTCTCTCCGTGCATTTTCATTGGCTGCGTTGCCGTTGCCGGCCAGCGAATCAGAGCCCTCCCTTCTCCAGTTAGGGTCGTACAATCTAGAAACAAAAATAAGAAAACAAATTTGATATACAGTTCCTGTTGTTACCTATCATCATCATCATCATCATCATCATCATCACTTGCTTTATCATCATTATCAAGGAGAAAAAAAAATTACTTTGGGGCAAAAACAATGAGATCGCCCTTATTGGAACCATAAGCAATGCCCTCACCTTCGCCCAACAACCACCTGGTACAATTCACCCCCACCGGAAATCTCAGATCCACCAAACTGACCGACCAATCAGAGCAAGGGTGAGTAACTTCGCTAACAAACTCGACAGATCCTTGGTCCCCGGCACGGGATGGAGGTGGCGGCCTCAAGTGGTATATTCGGCCGATCGTCTGTCATTGGACGGTATGATGTGGTTGTTTTGGGTGGGTTTGTTGCTGTTGGTTTGGGGGATTTTGTCGTTTTTTAAGGAGTCTTTTGATGTTTCATGTGTTAAAAAGAAGTGTGCGCGTGCGTGCGTGCATGTGTGTTTGTGTGTGTGTGGGAGGGTTTGTGCGTGTGTGTGTGTTGCGATGTTAACGTTGTTGCTACTCTGTGCTGAAGCTATTTCATTATATTTCGTCATTCATGGTAACAACACCATAATTAATTTTATTACAATCATAATTATTTAATTATATTATATTACAATCATAATTATATAATTATATTATCCTAATTATCATAGACGGAAACCTGTTTGGGAGAGAGGAAGACCTCATATTTTCCGCACGTCGTCCCAATGAGAAGGTAGTTGCAAGAGGGCGAGAGGCTTACTGATACGGCCGTAGAATCTGACAAACAAGTCAATCAATCAATCAATCAATCAATCAATCAATCAATCAATCAATCAATCAATCAATCAATCAATCAATCAATCAATCAATCAATCAATCAATCAATCAATCAATAAATCAATAAATCAATCAATCAATCAATCAATCAATCAATCAATCAATTAATCAATGAACCAACCAGTAAGCTAACCAACCGGCCAACTAACCAATCAATCAATCAACTAACTAACCAACCAACCGGCCAACCAACCAACCAACACCAACCAGCAAACCAACCGATCACCCCACAGATCAGACAACGCCCCCAGACAACGCACCCCCGAGATTGACAGAATACAGACACTGGCCCAGACTGCGCATGTCCAGCGAGAACACACCGACCTTCTTCTTGGCCCCGACCTTGTTCGGCTTTATGAAGGTGCAGAGCAGTCGGCCATCTTGAGAGATGTCCACAGTCGAGTCGTTATGGAGGTTGGCTCTGGGCACCACTACGTTTTCAGTCGCTAGGTGGTGGCGGGAGAGAATAGGGATGTGCCGGAATGGAATTCAAAATTATAACCATCATCATTACAATAATATAATCATGTTACTATCATCGTCATCATTACCACCATCATCACAAAGCCGTCATCATTACCATCACCCCCACCGTACTGACTGACCATTCTCGAGGTCGATGCTGGGCTTACAGACGAACGACCAGCACTGGATCCTGTATGTTGCATCTTCAGACATGTGCTCCCTCCACGCTATTGGTTGCAATCGTGATGTCGTTGTGATGATAATGATGATGGTAGTGGCGATGATGATGATACGATGATACTGATAATGATACGGTGATACTGATGATGATACGATGATACTGATGATGATACGATGATACTGACGATGATACGATAATACTGATGATGATACGATGATACTGATGATGATACGATGATACTGACGATGATACTGATGATGATACGATGATACTGATGATGATAGTGGTGACGAGAAGACATGGATTCGGCGATGAGGTAGGTGAATGATCCGGATGATGTGATAAACGACGATAACGATTAAGAAACGAACTATAGTAAATGGAGGTACACACACACACAAACACAAACACTCCCTTACAGTTATAACTGTTATAAAAAGAGCTTCTCCTGTTGTTCCTATTGAAACCAAAGGACCAAACGTTAACATTTGGCGGGAATCTATCGTCTGGGTCGCCATCATTCGGCCTGTCCCTCAAATCAAACAGGTCAACATCGCTATCGTCGCCGCCGCCGCCGCCACCGACCACAATGGCGTCCACGCCGGAACCACGCCCGCGGACGCCGTTTGTTCTCACGCTACCCCCGCCTCTTCTACCATCATTATCGTCGTCATCGTCGTCGTCATCGTCGTCGTCGTCATCATCGTCATTATTGTCCATGACGTCATCGTTCCTGATGATGGCGAGCGGAATGTTGTGGCTGTTGCTGTCAGCGCCACTGGCGTGATCATCGTCGTCGTTGTAGATGTTGTAGAAGTGTCGAGTGCTGCTAGATCTCCTCGCACTACCGTTAACATTACTTCTACTACCACTTGCACCATTATTAACATTGTTAATGCTACTTCTACTAGTACTACTGCCATTATTGCCCGTGCTGCTGCTACTACCACCACTGCCATTCAAGTAGTTAATGATGTTATTCCTTGTGCTGACCGCCATCTCTTCTGCTAAGTTCATCAGCTGTAGTCTAGACCTAGACATCTGGTCTCGTCTAGACGCCTGGTCACGTCTAGACGATCTGATCTCGAGAAGTCTGGGAGCTACGAAACTCGAGGCCGTTGACCTTGATGGGGAGAGATACAATGACCTTGATGGACCGGAGCTTGTACGTCTGCTGCTGCTACTGCTGTTGTAGCTGAATGGTGATGACGTCGACTGTCGGCGCTGCTGAAAAG